CTGGAAGAAGAAGCGTATCCTGTGATGATGGATTAAGCTGAAGTTCCTGTGACGCTGGATGAAGCTGAGTATCCTGTGAAGCTGTATTAAGCTGAAGTTCCTGTGGCGCTGGAAGAAGAAGCGTATCCTGTGAAGCTGGATTAAGATGAGTATCGTGTGAAGCTGGATGAAGATGAGTATCCTGTGAAGCTGGATAAGCTATGGTTTCCAGAGCGGGTGGATGTAGTGAACTTAACGGGTCTTCTCACCAGTCAGAGGTTCAGCTTTTGAAGCTGGATTAAGATGAGTATCGTGTGAAGCTGGATGAAGCTGAGTATCCTGTGAAGCTGGATAAGCTATGGTTTTCAGAGCGGGTGGATGTAGTGAACTTAACGGGTCTTCTCACCAGTCAGAGGTTCAGCTTTTGGTGGGAAGGGGGTTGCTTGAGTGTGATCCTTTGTTGTTAAAGGATCACGTCGAGGTCACTAATGTTTGTGACTAACCGAAGTAGACACTTCCGGGTCACACCGCGGGACAAGGGGGTAATGAGCACTTGTCGCTGGCACGGGGACGCTTTGCTGGCAGAACGATCGCGTCGCGGCAATGGTAACGATGGTTACTGCGATGCCGGACCACAGGGGATGCGGAACTGCTCTGAGGTCGAGCTAACGTAGGTAAGCTGCTAGTGGAGATAGTGTACTACGTGCCCTATTCCCAGAGGTAGGAAGTAGAACAGCGGAGCTATGAGATGCGTTGATATTAATCGATTGTGATTTATTCTTCATTTGGAACATGTTTATATACTATTTGGAACATGGAAGTTTAGTGTAATGATTAGTGAAGTAAGCTATATTCTAAAGTAGGTAGGTAGGTCAGGGAGTTTTGATTGTGGTAGCAGTTTGTGTAGTTGGCTTGGCAGACACTGCAAAATGTGCTGACTGCATTGTTGAGTCGGTGAGACGTTGAGTTAATGAGACATATAATATGATGATCAGCAATTCTCATATGCAGTGGGTGCTACTGAGCGCCTGGTACTGTTCCCAACTTGGCTATTGCTTGATTTGTTGGCTGTGGTCATGTTGAGCACCTTTGGGTACGAACAGAAACAAAGACAAATTTCGAGCCGAGAGCAGGGGTGCACTTGACTAAGCAGACTCAGACTTGTAAAGGCAGAAGAAAACGCAATTTGCCAGAACAACGGCCACGATCGACCTACTGGTAACCATACTCCGGTAGCTGGCAAAGTGGTACAGCCGGCCGTTGACTCCCAAGATAGCAGATATCGAGAAATAGTAATCCTATTTGGGAACACCTCGTTAATCCGGTCCATACCGGCTGCCAAGTAACAGCTCTAGTCTGGTATAAAAGACCTTAGACAATTAGGGAAAAGGAGAAAATCTATTTGGGTGTCTTGTTGACGGAAGCCGGCAGCTCTGAGGGAAGGCGACTTTCCCAATGGGTAGTTGACCACGTAGTCTTCTGCCATCAGGACCAGCCACCATATCCAAAGTCCTTGAGGAGGACACAAGTCGCAGCTCGAAAGAATCTTATGTGTCGGACTAGCGCCGCCATTGTCATTAAAGAACGTGAAGGGGATCAACAATAAGGACGACATCCGACGTGTAGTCCAATAGCATACGTCGGAAAAAGTAGGAATGCAATATAAATGTGTTAATCGAGCCAAATACTAATGTGAGTTTATACATAACCAAATACCAATATCCTCAAATAATACAATTGCAGAGTCAGCGAAAATCAAAAAAACGCTGGAAGCATTCAAACATGCATTGAAATACATTTAAACCAACCGAAACAATAGATAAAGTGCGAGTCATGATGAACAATTAGAGAAGACGAGTCTTTCCACCAGCCGTTGAAGAAGTCGCATGCCTCAGGCATAATAAATCTATATATTTTGTGTTTAGGTGAATTGGTATATTTAAGAACAGCCGTATTTATATACGTATATTTATATATATATCCAATATAATGTTTTCCAAAGCCCAGGATCCCGAGCGTCGAGATGTCATCGCCCAGGCTTTAAGGAGGGGGGTAAGTTTGTCGGAACACGGTTCCTTTCTTATAAACATACATATATAAATGTTCGTGCAGTATCCGACAGTTTTATAGACTACTATAAACTTTTTAGCGGCGAGTATCAGTCTTGTAATTGTATGTGCAATTGCAAGAGCCCTTGCGACGTTTTTAGTCGTGAACAGCCAGCGTTATGCTGATGTGCGCACCTTCCCAGGTGATAAGTCGATACATAATAGCTAATATTATGTTAGTTATCGACGGTGCACTCCGAAATATATTACTCAATAAATTTATAATGTAAACAAGGAAGAACGCTATAGTCGAGTACCATGACTATCAGATACCCGTTACTCAGCTAAAGGGACCCAAGGGAAACGGAGATATGCAAGCAGCAAAGCAAGATTAATATGCGCCACCTACCGGCGGGAGACAGATTTAAGCGCCATGGGCGTTAGAGTGGGCGTGGCAAATTTCTTGGATCAATCGATAGGTATTGACGAAACCAATACATTTCAGTTAACATTTTTTATCTAGCATAAAAATTGTAGGCGTCACAGGTTTGGGCGGTTTGTGGGCGTTAAAGTGGGCGTGACCAATTTTTTTTGGGTTAATCGATAGGTATTGATGAGAACAAAAACAAAAAATTTTTTATTCTAGCATCAAAACTGTAGGAGCCACAGTTTTGGGCGGCTTGTGGGCGTTCGAGTGTGCGTGGCACTCTGCTGAAACAAACTTGCGCTGCACGCCAAACTCAATTGCCTAGATCTTATAGTTTCCGAGATCTCAGCGTTCATCCGGACGGACGGGCAGACGGACAGACGGATCGACTCGGCTAGTAATCCTGATCAAGAATATATATACTTTATGGGGCCGTAAACGCATTCTTCTGCCTGTTACATACTTTCCGACGAATCTAGTATACAACGAGTAACGGGTATAAAAAGAAATCAAAACCATGAAGTGCTAGAACCTTAACAAGGGGGGTGTGCTGACGCGAGAGGTGGAGGCGAACTTTACGGACTGTTTGCTCAGGAAGCAGGAGTAAATATGCAACTTCGCGAATCCACTGGTTTTATTTAAAACATTGCTTAGCCGTCATCTACACCCAAAAAAAAAACCAAAAGTATACACTTAATAAGCGTTGTGTTAAAAGTATGATAAAGTTAGTATAAAAATGTAAGTATTAACTCAACACTAATTAGTTTCAACTGTATACTTTGTAGTGTAAGTGCTCTACCAAAGAGTATAAAGCGTAAACCTGTAGTGTTATTTTTAAACTAGTCATATTTGACTATTTAGTTTATAATTTATACTTTTGGTTTCAACAAAAACTTAATATAGTATAAAGAAAATGTAGTTTCAAGTTATTACAAAATAGTTTCATGCCAACACTTTATAGTATTAAGCTTATACCAATTATTATATGAGTGAGACTCAGTAGTATAAATAGTATACTGAACATTAAATAGTTTTTCATGGTGTGAAACTAGGACAATAGCGAATATTCGAACATATATTTTGGTGTAAAACCAGGACAATAGCGAGTATACGAACACAGAAAATGCTACCGGAGTTGGCGTTGTTTGACGCGTTAATGATTATTGTGATGATTTATCTCGGTGAGTTTGGTCCCGCATTTTTGTGAATTTTGTGCCGAGTCAACATGTAAGTAAAATATTTGTTCTAAAATTAAAAAAAATCAATATTATATTGTCCCTGTTGGTAAATTTTGTGTGTATTGTGTATTTTCAGATGCAAGTGCTTTGCGCACGCGTACAGATGCATAACGCGAAGGAGCTAACGAACTCGACGTACCGCCTTTGTGCTGTCAGAACAGCGAGTGCCTTCCGGACGACGCAGCGCTCGTCATTGCAGGCCAAGTTCCCCTATGTGAACTGGTGCGGGAGCCACAGAACCAAGACCGAGGTGAAGAGGAGTGCCAGGATGCAGAGCGTCGACAACTGGCAGGCAGCCTGGGACAACTCCAGCAAGGGACGCTGGACGCTGGACGCAAGGGTAAATAGGAAGCACGGCCAGGTAGATTTCTACCTCACGCAGGCGCTGAGTGAACATGGTTGCTTTCGAAGCTTCCTTAAGCGCTTCGGACACGACACGGAGAACGGTTGTCCAGAGTCCGGCAGTGGGATTGTTGAGGACGATCAGCATGTCCTATTTTAATGTCACCGCTTCGGGTCTGATCACCAAATGCTGATGAAGACCACCGGGGCAAGAGTTCGGCCAGCGACGGCAGCCTACGCAGCGAGTGTACTGCGAACGCTGCGTCGCATCGAGAATGAGAGGAGAGAAGCTACAGCCTAGGTGGCTACCATTGCGCTAAGCAATACCTTGCGGTGATACCGCGCAATCACGGCCCCTACTCTTGTTGCTTGTACTTATTTTAGTCTGTATATACGTGTTAGGTAAATGAATATAAAAAAAACACGAAGGAGCTAAAAACATGAGTTGTGTGTTGCGCAAAATATGAATATTTATGAAATAATAACAAAATAATATGTCAAATAGTAATAAAAGAAAAACAACATACAACTTGATTTTATTGGGTTTGGGATACCACGAAAAACAAAATAGTATAAATTTTATACTACAGGCAACGGGGAAATCGTATAAGTTTTATACGAAATAGTATAAAATGTATACTAACGATTTCGATAAATAGCTTAAAAAGTATACTACGGCTCTCTAGATTAGTATAATATGTATACGAAATAGTATAAAACGGAGACTACATAGGATAGCTTTTATACTAAATAGTATAAAAAGTAAACTATCAGCATAAATTTCAGTACACTGAGTGAGTATAAATTGTATACTCGTTAGTTTAACTTTGATAACTTCGAAAGTTTCAGTTTAATACTTTCGGTGTCATAAGGTTAATACGCATCTTATCAAGATATTTTTGACACTCAATAGTTTAGTTTTAATGTACGAATAGTTTAGTTTCTATGATCATTTTTTTTTGGGTGTATGTAAATTGTGCGTTTATTTCAAGAGCTTTTTCTATTCAACAATGTTACCTGTTTGTGGGGAAGACAACAAATATGCCACCCTTATATTTATAATTAATAACGCACGAATAGGTTATATTAAAATGTATAGCGTTTATTCGGAGCGGCAGACGGACTGTGAATGTGTGAAAAGCTTGGCTCCAAGATCTTCATATAGACATATGCAGGCTTACAAAGTAGTTGCTGAATAGATAGGCGACAGCTTTATGGGTATAAGAAAGAAGGCGAAAGATAAGCAGATAGCGATGCAGGTGCCGTCGTACACCTATGCGCGCATGACTAGGCGCTGGCGATCTGCTCCGAACATACTCCCCCCGTTGGAAGAGGTAAGGTTCCAACTCTCGGAATCGATGGGCAGAACGGCTAGCTTGGCGACGGCTCTCTTGATCAGACCCGTAGCTGTACGGACCATAGCTACTCTGATGACTCCGTCCCCGCCGGGTATGACTTCTTGGATGCACCCAAGCTGCCATCTCAAGGGTGGAACGTTGTCCTCCTTAAGCAAAACTATGCGTCCAACCTTGATGTTAGACGTTTCGACGCGCCACTTGCTCCTCTCTTGAAGTAGGGACAAATACTCGCTGCTCCACCTTTTCCAGAAATGTTGCTGCATCTGGGTAACCCGCTGCCATCTGCTGAGGCGGTCTTCGCGGAGATGAGTAATGCCAGGCTCAGGAAACTTAGTGTAGCTGGAACCCTTCAGGAAATGCGCCGGTGTAAGCACCTCAAGGCTTTCAGCATTTTCTGAAATTGGACAGAGTGGACGGGAGTTAAGGATGGCAGGAATCTCATATGCAAGAGTTCTTAATTCATCGATGGCTAAGATGGATGCACCGACGACTCTGTAGAAGTGAAATTTAGCTGACTTCACAGCGGCCTCCCATAAACCACCGAAGTGCGGGGCACGCGGAGGGATGAACTTCCAATCGATCCCATCAGCTAAACAGACGGAAGATATCGATGCTGTGTGCTGCTCGCTCAAAAAGAGCTCTTTCAGCTCGGCAAGCTCTCTCTTTGCACCGACAAAGTTTGTAGCATTGTCGCTCCAAATGGTACGCGGACTGCCTCTAAGGCTGATGAATCTCCTCAGCGCTGCGATGAAAGAATCCGTCGTGAGATCTTGGACCACTTCCAAATGAGCAGCCTTCGTGGAAAAACAGACAAAGACGGCGATATAGCACTTGTGGGGTGCCTTATTTCTGGCCTCTGCTTTATGATAGAATGGCCCACAATAGTCCACTCCTGTGGTATGAAAAGCTGGATTAGGCTGCACTCTATTTGCAGGAAGGCTGCCCATGTTGATAACGCTGGCGACGAACTTGCGGCCTCCAATCGGCCAGTACCTTTGCCGTAATGCGGCAAGCAGCGCCTGCGATCCTCCATGCAAATATTTCTCATGATAATAAACGATGATCGCCTTGGTGACTGGATGATCCTTGGGCAACAGTATCGGATGCCTCGTGTCGTAGTCCAAGTTTGCGTTCTGAAGCCTTCCACCCACGCGAAGTAACCCATCGGAGCCGAGTATAGGTCTAAGCGAAACCAGCTTGCTTTTCTGTGGAAACGGCTTGCCCTGGCTAAGAGATCCATACTCCTTCGCCAAGTTAACCTGTTGGATGCTCCTCAGAAGAAGTACAGTTCCAGAGTTGATCTCCTCCACCGAAAGTCGACCTTTTAACGGCGCAGATTTGGCTCTGCAATTTGAAATGAATCGATAAATGTATGCAAATACGCGCTGCAACTTATCGAAAGAGTTGAGGAATTTGCAGTTTGATGAACTGTCTATGCAAACGGCCCCAATTAGAGCCACAGAACGGCGCTCTGGAAGATCCTTTACTGAGTCTAGCAGGGACGGCCAATTTGACGAGCTTTGCAGAAGGAATGGAGGCCCGTTAGCCCAAAGGGAATGTTTCAACAATTCTCTTGGGGTACATCCTCGCGATACGACGTCTGCTGGTTTCAAGTTTGTAGGAACGTGATGCCAAGAAATGTCTTTCGTCATCTCCTGAATTTTCGCGATTCTGTTTGATACGAAAACGTTAAACTCCCTCGGAGGTTGCCGAATCCACGCCAACACAATGGACGAGTCCGACCAGCAATGAAAGGTGCAATCGAAATCTATGGCTTCCTTGGCGTTTACGATTAGCTCAGCCAATAAAAGCGCTGCGGAAAGTTCTAATCTTGGAATTGTTAAGGCCTTCAATGGAGCTACCCTTGACTTGGCACAGAGCAGATGGACTTTCGATTCTCCATTGGTCTCCGATCGCAAGTATAGACACGCTCCATAAGCTGACATGCTAGCATCGCAGAATCCATGCAACTCAACGGAAGCCCTTGGTTGCAGTACGAATCGTGGGAATTTTAAGTTCTGTACGACCGATAACTGTGAGGTCAACTCCCCCCATGACGAAAGAATGGGCTCTGGCAGTAAATCATCCCAATCCACGTTCGCGCTCCATAGAGATTGCAGAAAAATCTTAGATTTTGTGATAATAGGAGTTATTAAACCGAGTGGATCATAGAATTTGGCAATCGTCGACAATGCAACCCGCTTAGTGGGTCGTTGATTGATTGGCAGTTGAGAAAAATGAAATAGGAGCTGATCAGAAGATGGATCCCAGACTAGTCCCAATGCCTTGGCGACATCCGATCCATCGTGAAATTTGATTAACTGCTCCTTGTCGCATTCAGACTCTCCCTTCAGGGCTGCTGACTCATTCGAACACCATTTGCGAATTGGAAAGTGGCCTCGCGACAGTAATTCCTTCACCTGACGACGAATTTCTCTCACCTCCCCAACTGAGTCCCCACCAGATATTAAATCATCCACATAGAAATCTCTACGAACAATTTTTGCTCCAATAGGAAATGATTCCTCCTCATCGTAAGAGAGTTGATGCATGGCCCTTATAGCCAAGAAGGCAGCTGGCTTGGTTCCGTAAGTCACCGTGTTCAATTTAAAAACACTCAATTCTTTCCTGGAGCTCTCTCTCCAAACGATGCACTGCAAGAAATCATCCGGGTACGAAACACGCACGCAACGGTACATCTTGCAGATATCTCCACAAAGGGCAACTTTAAAAAATCGAAAGCGAAGCAGTATATTGAAGATTTTTTGTTGAATTGTTGGTCCTGCCAGAAGTAAGTCGTTCAGAGAGCTACCAGAAGTTGTTTTAGCTGATCCATCAAAAACGACACGAAGCTTCGTACTCGTGCTTTCCTGCTTATGTACGCAATGATGGGGCAAAAAGAATTGTGTTTCTGGCGGTTCCTTAGTTACAAGAGACATGTGACCTAGGTCGATATACTCCCTCAAAAATGCTGAATACTGAGCTTTCAGGGCTGGGTTTCTATCTAATTTAGCTTCCAAACTCTTGAAACGACGACGAGCCAAGCAATAAGAATCACCTAAAGATTCGAATCCGGAAGTGGTCAAGAGACGAACAGAGTATTGGCCGTTTCCAAGTCGAATGCAATTTTCAGTAAAAAGTTGCTCACATCGCAAGTCTCCGGCAATAAAAATGGCTTAGACGAAGTGAAGTCCTCAATTTCCCAAAATCGCTTTACAATGGCGGAAAGTGTGTCATCGGAATAATCAGCTGGGTCCTTGATGCTGGCTTGTAAAACCGACTTATGAGTTGGCATGTTCGATGATAACCCTCCAGAGACTATCCAACCAAGCTTGGTGTTCTGAAGAGTTGGCAAAGCCCTATCCAAATGAATTTGTCCCATAGGAATTATTTCGAAAAACAACCCAGCGCCGAGTAAAAGGTCAATTCGTTGTGATTGATTGAAATTAGGGTCAGAGAGTGAAATGTTTTGCGGTATCCTCCACGATGTTGCATTTATATTGAAATGGGGTTGATAATCAGTAATACTGTGAGTCACAACCGCTGTGAATGCCGCTCGATAGCTTGCATCCCGTGATTGCACAAGAATATCGACAGTCTTATCAGAGATCATGGAAGATTCTCCTATCCCAGAAATCGACGTTTGCGATCTTCTGTGATTCAAGTTTAGTTGGCTGGCTAAGCGAGAGGTTATGAAGTTTAGCTGGGAGGCCGAATCTAAAATTGCTCGGCAAGGCATAAATGCTCCAATTCTATTTCTGACGTAGATAATAGCAGTTGGAAGCAACACGTAGTCGATCGGCAAAATATTTAAGGCTTTGGGTGGAGGGCTTGGTAAATGATGATCAGGATGCGATGATGTATGCGAACATGATACTAATGCTGATGAAGTAGATGGTAATGGCTGAGAGCTCGAGGATGGATCGCATGATGGAGATGAAAATGAGGTTGATGTTGCGGATGGGTCATGGTTCATGTGTAATAATGAATGATGCTTCATGCGACAATACTTGCAGTGAGTCGACTTGCATTGCTGCAAACTATGCCCCTTGCGCAAACAGTTGAGGCAAAGGTGCAACTTCTTTGCTTCTCTATATCGAAGATTCGGACTCAAATTTAAAAATCGAGGACACTTTGGCAAATAATGATCCCGTGCATCGCAAAATAAGCATGTCAAATGATTTGAGTTAGTAGCAGATGCAATAAGTGTATTTTGGTTATATTTGTGCAAGTTTTTTCCCACCTGCTGGCCTGGTGTTTGAGTTACCAAGGCTTGATCCAAGTTTTCCATCATCCTGCACCTCTTTTCCAAAAACGACTCCATAGCATCCCAGGTAGACAGCTCAGTGATTGACAAATCCTCTTCCCATTTTTCCCGCGTCCTCTGATCCAGTTTCCGAGTGACGATGTGAATTAAAAGTCCATCCAAAATTTGTTGCGTATTGGCCAGGGTTCGAATTGCTCGCAGATGCGAATTCATGCAATCGCTCAGCTCCCGAAGACCCTTCGAAGATCCCTTCTCGACACCCTTTAAACCGAATATTGCCTGAACATGTGCCTGAAAGTGTAAAACTTTATTATCAAATCGATTAACCAGCAAATTCATAGCCTTTTTAAAATTAGCATTCGAGGGTTCGAGCGATCGTATGGTTTCCAGAGCCACGCCGCCCAAACTCGAACGCAAATATTGTAATTTTTCAATGTCGCTTAGCTCATCATCATTTCCGATGACCGTAGTGAAAGTCGCAAGAAAATCCGACCACTCAGAGTAGGATCCGTGAAAACGAGCAGTTTCCAAATTTGGCAACCGATGCTTTCTATGTCAATAGATGTTGAATTTGCAGCGGTTGAAGCCGGCAATTGTGACTTGCGATGAGCCGCCAAGCCTCGGCTTAGTTTCGCCTTCACATCCATGAAGACTTCAGCAAATTCAATCCGATGGTCGCTCGATATTTTTGCAAAGTCCAGTCTTTCCAACGATGTCTGCGCAGAATCAAATGCCTGGTTTAAGGAATTGATCCATTCCATTCGCGCCAGCAAATCAGATTCGTCAAACTGATTAACCGCATCAGCGTTTAAATAGCATTTCATCGAGCTCATTTGCCGCAAAATAGATTGGGCTTTGACTCGGTAGTAGTCGACGTCACTTGTGGATTCATTTTGAGCCCGAACCGAGTTTTCCGTATCAGACATTTTTCAATCACGAGAAAGAAAAAAATGAAATGAAAATGAAGTAAAGTAAAATGTCCGACCGCGTTAGAGGCACAAAACACCGTATACCCTTTACCGCGAAAACGTGAAGGTTAACAAGCGTCGCCGAGATGCAACGGAACCTTTAACTTTGTTGTTGTTGTTATTGCCGATAAATTGCCTGCCTAGCAACAGCGGATTATGTAACTGGCAAACGAATGTATGTATGGCTATATGTACATGTATATATGTAATATGCGCTATTAACGAAGATTAAATGCGATTCACTTTGTTAAGAATTATTTGCACAACACAAATTTGGTGCTTTTTCACAGCGCAAAATGTACAAAAAATCAAACGGCCGGCTGTGCACTTTTATAAGCACATATGTATGTATGTTCGTCTGTTTGTGACCGAATGCACGATAACGACAGCGAAGCAAAGCGTTTGTTTAAACTATATTAAACAATCGCGAAACTCCGATTAAAACTGCTATCACGTCGGGGTCACCAAATGTTTGTGGGGAAGACAACAAATATGCCACCCTTATATTTATAATTAATAACGCACGAATAGGTTATATTAAAATGTATAGCGTTTATTCGGAGCGGCAGACGGACAGTGAATGTGTGAAAAGCTTGGCTCCAAGATCTTCATATAGACATATGCAGGCTTACAAAGTAGTTGCTGAATAGATAAGCGACAGCTTTATGGGTATAAGAAAGAAGGCGAAAGATAAGCAGAGAGCGATGCAGGTGAAGTCGTACACCTATGCGCGCATGACTAGGCGCTGGCGATCTGCTCCGAACAGTTACCAACTCGCTCGTTTCAGATCTTCCCTATTACATTGGTATCTAGAGTTAGTATTTTATGGTAATCTAGTAGTTTTTTAATCTAGTATTTTGTTGTATGATCGTTGCTTGCCGACTTGTAGGGGGTAATTTATTAGCGATTATCAGCTGTGCTACGCCCCTGCTCGCAGCTTTCGATAGTCGGCATCGCAACGACCATAGAAAACAAAACAAACAGTGAGATGACCAAACATCGCCCGCGTTGAAGCGCTGTAGGCCTTCAATTAATGGGAAGAGGTGCCAGATGATGTACTGAGCGTTTGTATACGCCTTGCTTGGTTTATACTAGAGCAACGCGCACCTTGCCATCCGATCCGTGCGTTACTTCGGTGACTCTGCCGAGCAGCCACTTCTGGGGCGGTAAATTGTCCTCTTTGATGACGACGATGGTTCCTGGTAGAAGGTTGGCCGATTCCTTTGTCCACTTAACCCTTTGCTGCAGCCCAGCTATGTAGTCACGGGTCCAGTCTCGCTAAAACCGTCGCTTGATGGCTGATATAAGCTGCCAGCGTTGTAGATGAGTTAGGTCGTCGTCCGGATGAGGAGGTGCCGATCCTGGGGGTAGAGCAGCGAGCGTGGTGCCTACCAGAAAGTGGGCTGGAGTAATAGCCTCTCCGTCGTTAGGGTTGCTGCTGTCAGCTATTAGCGGACGCGAGTTAAGCACTGCTTCCACTTCAACCAGGATCGTCTGGACTTCGTCCTCCTTCAGCAAGGCGTTTCCGACGGCCCTCAAAAAGAGGTGTTTGGCGGACTTGACGGCGGCCTCCCATAGGCCCCCGAAATGAGGCGACCGGGGCGGAATGAAGACGAACTCAACCTGGTGATGGACGCCGTACGTTCCCAGTGTGCTGCGGACATCGGAGGCCATCTCCTGAAGCAGCCGTGAGGAACCAACAAAATTGGTTGCATTGTCGCAGTAGAGTCGATCGAGCGGGCCGCGCCGCCCAACAAATCTGCTGAGACAGAGGATAAATGAGTTAGAAGTGAGATCCTTCAATAGTTCTAGGTGAACCGCTTTCGTTGAAAAACATATGAATACTGCGACATACATTTTTGACGCTGCCTTGCCCCGCACTCCTAGCGACACTCGGATTGGACCGAAGAGATCGACTCCGCTTATTTTAAAGGGTCGACTGATTCTGACACGGTCAAGAGGCAGATTTCCCATTATTTGCGACATTAACCGTGGCTTATACCGGAAACAGTGCGTGCATCGGCGCACAACAGCACTGCACTCGCGTCGTGCATTGATCAACCAAATTGTCTGCCGAAGCAGGCCGACTAGGGCTCGTGGTCCTGCATGGCAATTAGCATAGTGCAGGTGCTCGATGTACAATTTGACAAAACGATTCCCTTTAGGCATTAATATTGAGAATTTGGCACTGGGTTCTAGATCCGCGTGCGCTAGTCGACCGCCCACCCGCACCAATGTTAAAGTACGGGTTCCGAAAGTTTCGTTGCTGATAAATGGGCTAAGTTTTTGATAAGAACTGGGTAATGGCAAATTTTTCTTTAATTTATTGAATTCGTCTGCAAACGATTCACGCTGAACAGCCTGCGCGATATAAGAGAACGAAAAACTAAGCTCGGTGGCTGATAGGACGTGGTCGTTCCACAATTTCCAGGCCCTGCCGTAAACAAAACGAAAGATAAATGTTGTAATTCTCACAAGCTTCACATAGGAAGAAGAATTTTCAACTAATTGTAGCAGCGGATGATTTGAGACGACAGCAACCGTATGGGCGATTACTGGCGGTTTCATTTCGAGTTGGCTTTCGAGGGGCGTGTCAGCCAAGTGCTGATTAACTGGCCAATGAGTCGAGTCCATGGACAAAAACGAAGGGCCTTCAAACCATAGCGTCGTATCGAGATCTTTGACCGTAGTCCCTCGAGAGGGTAGGTCCGCTGGATTGAAGTTAGTCGGGACTTGTCGCCAGACTGCAGTTGGAGCCAGTTCGTGAATAGCCGAAACCCTATTTGCGACGAATGTTTTCAGCTTTGACAGATGAGTGCGCAACCAGAAGAGAACAACTTCAGAATCCGACCACATAGTAACCTGCTCGACGCGGTAAAGATTAAGCGTTTGCACATCACTCCATAACTTCGCTAAGAGGTGAGCCGCACAGAGTTCTAGTCGTGGAATACTATGTCTATTGATCGGTGCTACCCTGGATTTGGCTGTTAGCAACCTAACTTTTATTCCCTCTGAGGTCACTGACCTTACGTACAGACAACAACCGTAAGCATCTGTTGACGCGTCCGCAAATCCGTGGATTTGATAAGTGCCGCCAAACTGAGTTCCGACATGCCGAGGGATGTATAACGTTTCTAAATCTGTAAAGCAAGATGACACCTTCTTCCAACGATGCAGTACGTCGGCGGGTATTTCGTCGTCCCATCCAATTTGTAGCGACCAGAGTTTTTGAATAAATATCTTTGCTAGGGTAACGATAGGGCAAATGAGTCCTAACGGATCGAACAGCCGTGCTGCAAATGAAAGCATGGATCGCTTTGTGGGTGGGTCTTCAAGCTGTAGATTCTGGGCGTTGAACCCAAGTGAGACCCAAAGTTTTCGTATCGGCGTCTTCTCCAATAAGGACTTCTGGCTCGGCGACCTGTCGTTCGTTGGGGGTACAATTCGACGCCCACTTAGCCAAGACGAACCCTGCGGAATCTAAAATCTCTGTGATTTCCCCTCGCAATTTCCTTAACTCACGGATGGAATCGGCCCCTGTTAACAAGTCATCGACGTAAAAATCATTTTTTAGAGCCTGTGAAGCTAAGGGAAGAGATTCGGAGTAGATCTCGCTAAGCTGCTTCAAACACCGTATTGCAAGGAAAGGAGTACTTGCCGTACCATACGTAACGGTGTTAAGCCGATAAATTTGTAGAGGGTCTTGCGGGGTCTCACGCCATACAATTAACTGGAACTTTCTATGGGTCTCATCTAATACCACTTGTCTGTACATTTTAGTAATGTCTGCCGACATAGCAAATTTATGGAACCGGAATTTAAGCAGCGTGGCATACAGGCAAGGCTGAATTGTTGACCCTACCAAGAGAATTTTATTCAATGAAATTTGGGAAGTGGTTTTGCATGACGCGTCGAATACGACTCTTAATTTAGTTGAAGAGCTTTCAGGTCGGAGAACGCACTGATGCGGTATAAAATAATGAGGCTCGTTGGGTATCCTATTATCTGTAGCCTCCATGTGACCGAGAGCTAAGTATTCCTTCATAAACTGGATATACAACGAATGATTTGTTGGGTTCCCTTTCATACGCCGTTCTAAGGACAGAAACCGTCGTCGTGCAGGACTCGATTTGAAAGGCAGGCTAACTACAAATTTTCCTGTAGAGTCACGCGAGACGGTGCTAGCAAACGATTTTTCACTCAACACTTGATCAGGGGTATAGAGCTGCGATTTTGTTAAATCGGGTATTCTTTCAATTTCCCAGAACTTCCTTAGCGTGTGATCCAAATTGTTGTCCTCAGTAGCTACTAGAGTGGAGTATGAGACACATCGTGCGGGCGGATTTTCTTTATAGGTCCCTGACGCTACCCAGCCAAAGACAGTATTTTGTAGAGTTGGACCTGAGTGCTTGTGACGTATTTGTCCTTCCCTAAGTAAGTCGAAAAACAACTCAGCGCCGATCAGCATGTCGACGCGTTTGGGCTTGTAAAAGTATGGGTCTGCTAAGGAGATATCATTACGAATCCAATCGGAAGATATTGCGGTTGCTTCTGGACGATACCCTGAGATTGACGGTAAAATTATGCATTCAACTGCCGCTTCGAAGGATTTAATCGCGACCCAATTGTCGTCTGGACTGCGAAGCTAGCTGAACACGCGGAATTCCCAATGCCTGAGAATTTAGCCTCATGCCGGTACCGTTTTAATTGCAGATTATTTACTAATTCCTCCGTTATAAAATTAACCTGTGTTCCTGAGTCTAGCAAAATCCTAGCGCACAGCTTGGCTCCTGACTGACTTTGAACCTCGACAAGGGCAGTTGCAAGTAAGACGTGATCTACCTTTTGCGGCATAGGCTGACTAACCGAGGCACTTAGTGACTGTTGGGCTACCTGATTGTCAATAGGCGATGACAATTGATTGCTCGACGGTACTTGGGAGGTTGAGGTATACCGATGCAGAAGTGTGTGATGAGCCTTCGTACAAATTCGACAACGAGATGACTGGCATGTTGCGACACTATGTCCTCTGCGTAGACAATTGATGCAAAGTGGTGCATTCTTTGCGAACTTGAACCGAGCTTCTACCGAAATATTAGCGTAAGATGTACAACTCTGAATGAAATGGCTGTCTGACTTGCAGAAGCAAAATTTAGACTTAAGTTCTTCGACAGGTCGGGAAACTGCTAATGCCGCTTTGCTATATCTGGGCTTGTTCCCTAGCTGTCCCTGTTTGGGAGCTTTTCTGCCTGTCGTGGATTCCTCAGCCGCTAAGTGTTGGTATCGTTTATTAAGCGCCTCTGAGCAATCTTTCCATAACGGAATAGAATCGTAACTAAGTTGCTCTTCCCATCGCGACCGCGTTTTGGGATCTACTCTAGACATGACGATGTGAATTATCATTGCGTTGGCGAGAGTTTTCTCGTTGCCGAGCGAGAAAAGAGATTCATATATAGCAGTTACAGTGTCGATAAGGGATCGCAACGCCGAGGCGGATGGCGCTTGCATTGTTGGGATTTCAAACAATCGAGAAATACTTTTAAAGTATATTAGGCACGGATTATCATAAACCCTGACCAAGGCCGCATGGGCCTTTGCGTAATTTGCTTCTGTGATCTGGTAAGCCTTTACTGTTCCTAAGGCTTCCTTCTCTAAACAGGATAACAGATGATTAAACTTTTTAACATTTGATAGAGATTCGTCATCGTGAACTAAGCTGTTAAATAAACCTATAAAATTTTTGAACTCGGCATGGTTGCCGTCGAATTTTGGGAGTTTCATTTGTGGTAGTATTCTGCTGTGACTTGCTGAAGAGTTTAAACTACTGTTATTTGCGAAGGTAGAATGATTTCTTTCTCCTTCGGGCCGGTTACAATTTGACATTAATAATGCCTTTGCGGATACACATAATTCTTCTAACTCCTCTCTACATGCTAATTCGTTATTAATTGCCTATAATTGTTGTTGCAACTCGAACGCCTTTTCGATGTATCCATTTAAAATACCTAAACGACCTTCCATTTCGCACGCATTAGGGGGAGTTACTTGACCACGAACTGTGGCCTCAATTCTAATTATATGATTCTTATTCCGCTCAAGCTGTTCCAGCAATTCGTTTGTGTCGTCCTCCGCTGAGGGAGTTCTGCCAAAACGTTTCCGACTTCCACCCATTGTGACTAGCAACTTCCCGTTTTTAGATTATTTCTAACAAGCAAATGCCAATGCAATGCTGCTGGTAGCGATAGAATGTCTGCACTGTCCCACCGTACTAAAACTCTCAGCCAGGCTATGCGCGAATGGAGCAAGGAAGGCAAAAAGACCGACACAGCCAAAGAGCGCGCGAGGATTGGGGCCAGGCAGATTAAGCAAGACCGAATGTGTGTGTGTGTATATGTTGGGTGGGCCTTTGTGTGTGTATGTGACTGAAAGCCAAGTGAATTATGATATGTGTTTGTGCAAGTGATGGAAATAAAGTTTGCATATATTTACGTAGGCCACTTTACCATATACAATATGGATCGCTGTCCAGGCGCACCTGCGATGATATTGCGATTGGGCTGTACTTCTCGGTGTTTCCGACGAGGTTAGGTTGAAGCCCGCTGATGCTCTCCTGTGACGAAATGGAGGTTAGGGACGCAGCCGATGTGCGCTCCCTCTACGATGATGTATGGGGCTCACCCCTCTCCGGGTGCTCCAGCGACGAAAGACGACGTTCTATTGCACCTCTCTATGGGTGCCGACGAGAATGTGGCGAGGAGATGGACGCAGCCGATGTGCGCTCCCTCTACGCCGAGATGTACGTGGGTACTGCGCTCCGGCTGTG